TCTATCACATTTTTCTTTATGTAATTTCTTAATCTGAAAAGCAACTACAGCAATGCAAGTAACTAAACTTTCAGACAAATGTAGTGGAGTAGCTGCATGATAATACACTTCTTTGCTGTGTGATTTGTGCAAAAGAATCATAGTTTCAGCAATAAACACCACAATGTGGCATAATAAACATCTATTAGAAATCACTGCACACACATGACTTTGTGAGCTGGGGTTTGTTGTTGTCAAAGTGCCAGCCCATTAGTTTGCTTCAAAGTTTTTCAACATGCACATTCAAATTTGGTTAATTGAATGGAAAACCAAATGTGAGCTTCCAAGCAGAAAAGTCAGCATGAATGACATCAATCGTTGAAAATCCTCCTCACAGTAGAGAAACAAATCAAGAACGTCTTGTCAGCTGTCACCCCGGCTGACAACCAAATCAATGACATGCACATTTTAATAGATAACATCTATTCTAAGACAGACAGACCAGTACACGCACACAGGACATGAAATAAGTAGTATTGTAATATTCAATCACTGAAGACAGAACATTAACAATTCAAAAGGATTCTTCATAACTGAGAGCAGAAAAGAACATATTAAATATAGTCATATTTCATGATATATTTAAAATTTCACTGCAATTCTTTAGGATTTGTTACTGATTTTTTTTTGTTGGTACTTTATGATGCAAATAAAATATTATACAGACTTTTGCACCACATCAAATATGATAAGCAAACTAACAAAACTATTATGAACTGTGTCCCAGTTCCATACTACACAGTATACAGTTTACTGTAGTATTCTGGTTTTGCAGTTAGTAAACAAGAAATCAATATGCTTTACCATTTTATAGCCTATCATTAAATTATGCAACATGGGGGTTGTGCAAAGGCAGTAAAACTGTGATTTAAACGGATACTTCACTTTAATGCTTAACAGTTTTTTGCATTGCATTGTGGAAGAAGATTGTACATCATTTTACTACATTTAGTGATTTGCAGACTCAAGTTTTAAGTATACTCATTATGATGTAGCTCATGTTTTGTAGCTGTACGTATGAGTTTCTCCACCTTATTTTTTAACTTTGCATCAGACTCGACACTACTGCTGACCCCGAGGTCAAAGCTATCATTGTATTTTGTTGAGCACACTTGATCCCAGTCACTGAGCAGGTGTCAGGTGTTGTTTCTCATGCATGTTATGATGTAAATGTGTTTTGCATTTATCCGTATACAAATCAATTCAAATGCACATCACATAAAAGATTAAGATCACAGGCAAGTTGAGATTTTTTGTTAACTTAAGTCTTGCCATCGTTTTGCCTTTAAGCTTATGTTTTATGAAGAGGTTTAAAAGCATTCTTTGTGCTACACACAATTAAATATAGATCATGGAGTGGAGTTGGACAATCCTTTTTATTGGGGGTAAGTGATACAAAGACATTCATGTGTTTAAATAAGTGGATTTTTGTTTGAACTTGAACTAAAAACACTATTCAAAGTGCAATAAAAAAGATCGGAGATAATTTCATTCCTTTATAGCTCATTAATAGATTAAATCCTGTATGGTCAAGAAGAACATGACTTTCTTTAATTTTCCCATATCATTTATTTTATTTTCTCACATTGTGATACATTCTGAAACTAAAATGTATTTATTAAGCCACAAGGAAACAAACCATAAAAATGTAAGAACTGACACAGGCTGCATGCTCATTTGAGTTTCGTATCAATGCAGGGTCAATCCTTCTCACTTTAAGGATTACTCACCAGGCAGGTAAGAAAAGTACAAAAATATTATTAATGTGCTTAAAATATCCAAGTAAATGTACTGATTGTGCTGTAAAACATCCTGTCAGACATTTATTACTGTATAATATATAGTGTTTAAGCAACATTGTTCTTGCTGTTTGAGGTGGAACAAGTTTTAACTACTTTATACAGCTAAGTAGTTTAGTTTATCCTAGTTCCTAACCTACTGATCGGGCCCCCTTCAAAGGGTCACAAGATAAGTCTGACTCTGATTTGTTATCGTACTTCCATACTTCGGCTGGTATGAGTGTGGATAAGTTAGCTAACGGAGATAAAGGATGATGAACAATTAAAGAACAATCTTTGATAGACTCAGTAAGCTACATAGTCTTTTTGTTTTAAAGGGAGAAAATACATATTATAATATGTATTTTCTCCCTTTAATTTTAAAGCATGTTTAATCTTCTTATCAAGTGCTTTTCTGTGTAGATGTTTTATATTTTGCACTGCAAACATGCATTTGATTATTGACACTATAATCACTTCACTGTGCCTACTTTCCAGCTAATGTGGCTCTGGGTGGAGTGGCTGCTCAGTCATCAGTGGGTGACTCGACACGTCTGCCATACTTGGTGATTGATGGCAAACCTTTTTCAAACTATTTTAATGGAAGCTGTGTTTGCACTTATTGGGAAAACAACCCCTGGTGGAGACTGGACATGCGGGGTCCGTACAACATCTCATATATTGAAGTGATCCCAAGATCAGATTGCTGCATTTATGATCAACAGGGGGCTGAAATCCTCATTGGTAACTCACTGGAGAACAATGGCAACAACAATCCCAGGTGATGTAATGGTTTAAACTTGATTTCATGTTGTGTTCATGTTGGATATTTTCAGTTTGGGAGGGGCTATTTCATTCGTAAATGAATGATTGCCTATATGCAAAAAAATACACAAAGTACGAGATAATTAATAAGTAAAGTAAAATTATATTATTTAAAAATAAGCCTATTGCACCTTAAACCAAACACAGTATTGTAGGTATAGTATAGACACCATATGTGGTGTAGTATAATAGAGGAGCGCATATGAGATATTGGATTACGTTTAATCTATTAAAATGTATATGCAGTATGATTCATTACTATTAATATAATATATAAATTATATATACTTACTATACTTAACTATATTAATAGTATAATACAGTACATAATGAATCGTTTAGCACTTTATATAATATAATTAAAACGTCACATTATGGCTGAGCTCTGAACTCATATTACCGAATATCCACCGTCTTTATGTCATTATTTAAATAAAAGGCTGCATACGGATAAATCTTCGTTAACTAGCATTTTTTGAAAGGTAGGAATCGTCATCCTACTGTCAATCAATAGCTTTGTTTTTCTGTCTTTTTGCCCATCAGATGTGGAGTCATCACTGTGATCAATGAAATTAAATATGTCTTTAACTGCGACCAGATGGAAGGACGTTACGTCAATGTTTTCATCCGTGGTGTAGGAAGGCGACTTCAGCTTTGTGAGGTCAAAGTGTACGCCACTACAACCCTTACAGGAAGTAATGCAGCACTGAGCAATGGCCTCTAAATAGTTGGTTCAATTATGCCATGATTTCTGTGTGAACATAATGAAGAAGAAATTGACACAATATTGTTTAGTGTTATTGATATAGATTTACAAAAGAACTTAATTGAAGATTAAGGTCTGTCCACGTTCAGCCTTCTGCTGAATTTAGAAGCTATTTTGTGCTCAGATATTAATAGTGTCCATGCTGAGGGCTAAGCAATTCTTTGGAGTTCAAAATGTGTCTATATGCATTTATTTTTCGAAACACTAACAATCAGAGCAATATTTGTAAAAAGTTATATATTTCAAACAATATGACACACAGGGAAGCAAAGGACAGATAACAAGCTTGACTAACATACTGTAAGCGTTCTATCCACATGCAAGGTAAAAACTACCAAGAAAAAAAAATAAGTTGCAGGCATCATAACCTGACCACAAAAACATATAATATACTGCCACAAAACAAAGATATGAACAAACAAACAAAGAAGTCACTCAACACAGAAACTACAGCTATTATTCCAAAATTCAAATCTTTATCAAATCTTCACAAAATTATTCTGTCATCATTCTATGATTTTCATGATTCAAAATAATTTTATTTCAACACTTTAATCTGATTTAAAGTGAATGCAGAGCACAGCTTATATAATTATTCAATTGATAACCCTGAAGATCCTTTACTTTAAATTGCATGTTAGGTGAGAAATTGTTAAATGTTCTGTAAATGTTAGTTTTGCACACACATTCACGGCCCAGTGACTAGTTAAAGTTTTCACATATATGGTGAAATTTCTCAACATCTACACAATGGTTAAGTGTGTGTTTTTTGCCCTAATTTTTATCAAATGCCAATATCAGGTATAAATAAATGTTATATGTGTCTAATACTTTGGTTTATCTATCTAACACTTTGATTTGCTTTACAATAAGCAATCTGGCCTCAAAGATGTGCTGTAGAGTATTTTGTCGTGATGAAGTACTTCAGTTTTCATTAAGTGCTGTGATTCTCCATATGAATCAGTAACTGGTCCTTACTCATTCATTTTTTCGCAAATGCCTTCATGACACTCCTGTCAGCCAACGTGGCACCGAGAGGAGTAGCCACACAGTCTGGAAGACCAGCTTCTGCAGCAACAGCTCCACAAATGGCCATTGATGAAGACAGTGGGAAGGATCCACAAAGCACCTGTGCTTCAGTTCCACTGCAAGACAACCCCTGGTGGCAACTGGACTGAGGAGTATCTACAAAATAACAGCTGTGTCTGTCACCAGCATCAGCGACTGCTGCTCAGAGGAGCTGGACGGTGCTGAGATCCGCATCGGTCTCAAAAATGACACCAGCAACCAAAGGTGCAGGAAGAAAAGAGTACTTACTTGCTGTAGAAGTACTAGTACTTATCAGCCTTTGATTATCGCTTTCTTATATTTCAGGTGTGCCATCATCTCCATTGCAACGGGACAGAGCAAATACAACTACCAGTGTGGAATAATGGAAGGTCGCTTTGTCCATGTTGTTCTTCCTGGACTACAGAAGAATTTGACACTTTGTGAAGTACAGGTGTATGTGCTTGGTAAGTTTTAAACTGTTTCCCACTTAAACCAAAATATGTTTCTATCACAGGGTGTTCTGCCAATGAGAGCTGAGCATTTCACTTGTCACCGTCATGCTGAAAGAGCAAAAGATGAACCACAAAAAACAACAACAAAACCTAACCCTACAACAAAATGGACAAAGATTTTCATCTTTTTACTCGCTGACTATTTCAGGTACCTGTTGACACTGTCGAAATATACAATTAATGAGGCGATACCATTTTTTCTAGCTTTTATCTTTTTAACAGTGTGCCCTGTGAAACAGTTGGTAAGCACACATGCTGAACATCCCTTTAAGGTCTTGATTAAGGAGTAACTCAACACCCCTTTCATTCCTTACCCCCAGTGTACTACATTACTGTTGGGTGTGGTAACCAACCACAAACCAGCGATGAAACAGGCTTGAAACTCTCAAAAGGAGAGGGCAGCAAAACACAGATTTTTAGGTGGCTGTTAAGTTACTCTTTGGAAACAAGTCCTCCAACTTAAACAACAAGTTCGTATTAACCAACCTCCAAAAACGACTCATATGAGCCTATAAAATGGTGCCTCTACAGGTGCTGTTATATGAGTGTATCCTACAATAGCGGCTTACCATACCTTCGTTTTGGAAATCACGTGACCCACGTCAAATGACATAAACACGGGGAAACCGCTGCGACACAAGTGAGGTGAACCCTGCTGCTAGCAGATCGGCCGTGATCTGTACAGCTGTTGGGTTCACCGTCTACATGCATAAAACACTGAGTTAGGTTTAGGCACACACCCCTATGAAGCTAATGTAGCTAAAGCTAATTTCACCAAGCTAATGCTACGAAGCCAACGTAGCTAATGCTAAAGCTATTGCTAAAGTAGCTAATGCTACTACGTAAGTTTGCCAGTCACCTGGGTGAAGGACCCTACCCACCACCACTACTGAAATTCCACTTTCTGGCTATTTATAATACGTCACCGTCTTTGTCATGTGTTTGCATTGTACGGCCACTAGAGGTCGCTGCCACAACGAACGTTTAACATGAGTGGTAATTTTGTGTGGCTAAAAACAACCTATATGGTCATTTTTCTTTGGAGGACACCTGCTTTAAGGGTAAACATGACCTTTAAGTTTAACCACAAAAATACATAAAATGCAAATGTGCAAACCAAGATAAAAATTGTGTAACTGACTTTGCATATGTTGCAGAAAGCCTCATCAATATCAATATCAATTTTATTTATATAGCACACTTATAACAACCAAGGTTGACCAAGGTGCTTCACAGGTTAAAATACAACAACAAGAACTTACACAGTAAAAGTACAGCAATAAAACATTGTAAATACAGTATACAATATATAGTGATATTAA